TCAATATTCGATTGATTAATAGAAATCTTTGGAAATAAAGTCCGTCTGATCGTACAAGATCTTATGGATGGATCATGCTGGATACTTATTGTAATTCTTGATACAAGAAATCAGAGACTACGATTTTTCGTACGATTTTCCATATGATCTTGTATGATCATACAAGATAATGGTATAAGATCATATATGATCGTACAAGAATCTGATGCAGATCTTAGTCTCCGATTTGTTGACCTGGGTAAATGTTGTTTGATTTTAGTTAGATATCACAATTGTTTACATTATATATTTGGCTTCCAAATCTTTTTTGAGCTAAGCAACCTCTAGACTCTTTTATCAATTCAGCTTTTTTAATCAGAAATAAATCAACACGTGATGACATCATTTGATGTTATTAGGTATTAATACAAAAACAACGGAATGTTCCACTAAACAATGTTATTTTGTTGATTAATTATTTTTTTCTTGTAATTACATCCATTTAGTCCATCTCGTTCATGTATGTTCACTTTGATTATGTTCAATAATGTGAAACACATATAGGTTACATTACAGAGGCTATCATTGCTGGTGAGACCAATAAGAAGCATTCGGTAAGCAGAATGAGGAAGTGCTCACATTTGAGAGACTCATTTTCAGTAAAATTCACTCGGATGACCACAGACTGCTCAGTATAAAGAGATGCTCACTAGAGCTGTCAACAGGTCATCACCATCATCCTTACACTCTTAAATTTTCACTTCTCCAACTTTCATTATTGATTGGCATACAAGAGGTAGTACTTTTGGCTAGGACTGTAAAAATGTTTCTATTAACTCGCAATGAGATCACTTTGTCTTCATGTTGCCATAGATTTTAAAATTCAACTGGACATGAGAGACATTAATCGCCGCTGTGTAAAAATAGTCAGGTCGAAAACAATGTCCTTTCTGCGGGTCCCCGCAAGAAATTAACGGATTCAGTGGGGGGAATCATCGATCTGGGAGAGTAAACAATGTATAGACAACTGTATATATTTTACTGATACAGAAAGATCATACGGCGTGTTTTAATGATCAAATACCCAGGTCGAAAAGACAGACATCAGATCAAACAAGATCTTATCAGATCTTAAGCGTCTAAGATTCTTTGTATGATCTTAACATAAAATCGCACAAGCACGTATGTCTTATGGAACTACAAGATTTCATCAGATTCTGATTGAAAGCTCCTAGAAAATATTTTGTAAGGTTCGAACATCAACAAACACATCAGAACCGACATAATGACCATTGTCAGATCTTATCAGATCAAATAAGATTCAAATACAAAGAAACATAGAATATAATGTAAGACAGCCCTAGTGAAGGTACTCATGGTGTACTCATGCTAGAAAATGCGCGAGATTACATCATTACTATTTGTCTTGATATTGTTTTCTTTATGAACATTTTATGCAACTTACATACTTTTAATCATGTTTCACAAAATGGTATCTCTTTATTAGCAAATGGTGTAAACGTGTCGCTTTGTTTTCGTAATATAATGTAATTTGATTTTTAGCTGATCAGGATGATAAAAGTAGAAAAGAGAGAATTATGAAAAAGTTTCATGAAAACAAAATTAACCGGAAACGACATCTATTGAGAGTTTTCTTAACATTACACACAATAGAGACGAATCATGGACTGTAAGCTAAACTATGATTCACTTCTAATGACTGACGACGAATCAACTCTTTTGTAGAAAAAAATAATAAAAAAACTCGTATCAAAGAGAATACACGTGAGCTTTATGTGTGCAAAAGTACTTTATGCACATCTGTACCATTCTTATCTAAACCTTTTTATTCTGTTTCTTGCAATGTCGTGACAAAGAAAGCAAAGTTACTTACTCTCGTCTGAATATAAAAGCAAGATTTTTTTCTTCCTTTATTTATTTCACGTAAACTACAGAACATAACCGAAGTCAACGAAGATAAACATCTTTGTAGAGACAAAAATTTGAATGGCTACTGAAACAACGGATGACAAATTAGATGCCTGTTGTCTCACTGAATATCGTCCATTGCCTGGGATTACAAGCGGACAAATAATTAAGATCGCCGACATCGATACTTATTATATTTCAGGAAAAGATCAAGCATCGAAAGGCAAGGTGATTGTTCTGTTAACCGATATATTCGGTAAGTTATTCTTATTTACTCTTCAATGATCATCACGTGTTAACATTTGAATAGGATTGACGAAGAATATACGTATCATTGCTGATGAAGCGTCAGAAAAAAGTGGTTTCGATGTCTACGTACCCGATCTATTAAGAGGCGACGCAATTCACTCGTCATTTATGAAGAAGATGCCTGAAGAAGCTGGAGAAAAGATGTCCATTGGTGCAAGGGTTCGTTCTACTTAATGGATTGCTCGAAGAAAACATTTTTTTCTGTGATATAGCTTAGCTATGCAGGAGATCTCGTCACATTGTTAGGGCCCTGGTTGTTTCGTCATCGTCAATCTATCACTTTTCCTCTTGTGCAGAAGTTCTTTCAAGTATGTGACTATACCATTTTTTTTTCTTCTAACTAACTAAAATTTACAATAGACTATTCGCTCGGAGAAAGGTGTAACGAGAATAGAAGCTGTTGGCTATTGTTTCGGTGGTCTTTACGCATTGTTGGCTGGTGGTCCACTTCATCTCGCTGACGCTATTGTCGGTTGCCATGTCTCACTGACCAATAAAACTCACTTTGAGCAACTTGAAGTGCCTGCCGCCTTCGCTTGTGCACAAGAAGACAATCAATTTTCAGACTCTCTTCGAGCAGAGGCGGAAAAAATTCTCGCTCGCAAGTCCGAGTTACCTAGCAAGTTTCTGATCACGAAAGGCACGGTTCATGGTTTTGCGTCTCGACCTAATCCAGACAATCCCATCGTCATGGCCGCATTTAAACAAGCCAATGATCTAATTGCAGAGTGGGCTAAAACTCATCTCTAATTATCATATTATGTCACTTTCGTTGTAACCTGTTTGATTTATATACACCGAAGTGCTTTTTTGTCAGAGAAGTATTATTATAAGAAAAAAATACTATCAGAGCTTACATTAAACTGTCAACCACATCAAAATTAGTGCCTTCCAAAAATATATGCAACAATGTAGTAGGTTACTTTTGAAAGTGAGGGTGAGTGTGAATGTAAGTGGATTCTCAATCCGTCCACACCCACACCACATCCATCCACACCCACCCACACCAACACGCACACCCACATTCATATCCACGTCTCTCAACCACACCAAACCACACCCACACCCACATCCCAAGTGGTTGTAGGAAATATATCGAGCTTACGGAACTGTCACCTGTGGGCACCCTATAACCGAAGATAGCCGAAGGGCAGGGTATTCTTATTCTTCTGAATTTCGAAGATGAACAGAATAGCTGATTTCTTACGCACTTGATTTAATGTAAAATTACACGCAATTCTTTTCAACGATTATGTTGCTAAACAGTTGCATATGTTCTCCATGTATCAGAATTTCTTGTTCTCAAGCACGATTTGCGCAGTACTCATAATCGTACTCGTACTCGAAAAAGTTCGTACTTGCCTAGCTCTGCAACATGCTACAAAATCGAGTCATACTTGACAATTTTGACCATTAGATTTTTATTTACGAGCAAAATGCATGTGATATTCGGAATGAGCATAAAAAACTGAGTCAAATAACATATGTTTCACTAAACAGTAATTTTTCATTAAGGGTGTGGGTGTGGATGTAGTTATAGATTAAAAGAAAATCCACATCCACACGTATACCTCACATCTACACCCACACCCACATCCTATTGTCTCAACAATAGGAAGTGCACTATCGACAGATTATCAAACATATTGTAAGCTATGAGACACTCAACATATGAGTAATATAAGTCCCATTTTTTGCTCGAAAGGTGTCGAAAAAAGTGATTTATTGATTAATTTCACCAAAAAAAGTATAATTTCTAAATTTTTTCGTTACATTTTTTGTCTGAAAAATAGATAGAAGTTCTAATGTGATTTCATGGTGAGACTAAGCCGGAAATGCTGGAACGATAAAACTGTCTTTGTACTATTCATGAATTAGAAAGAAGATGAATTTTTATCATGGCACTTGGAAATATCAAGTTCTTAAACCTTTCCCTTGCAAAAGGCAAAAAAAGACGAAATTTCGTAACGGGCGATATTTTAAATCTTTAATTTGATGAAGCTAGACTCGATCAGAAATGATCTGATATTCTAACAGTTTGCTAAAAACTAAACAAATTTTGCATGCAACATTTATTTCTATGTTACTTTGTTTCTTACAAAAATACTTAACTTTTATCTACTCTAAAAAAAAAATTTCCTTTTTCTTTTGGAAACTGCGTAACGCATGGCCACGTCGCTGTGGTCTCCCCAGGTGAAATTTCAACAAAAATTATTTTAGTGAAACATGTTATTCGACACAGTTTTGTATGCTCATTCCGAATATCACATGCATTTTGCTTGTAAATGGTGGGTGTGAGTGTCAGTGTCGGTCTTTTATTAGCCAACACGCTCATGCACCCACCCACACTAACACCCTCAATGTGAAGTTCTTTTAATCGATGTAAATATGACAGATCATCAACGACGACCGATTAAATTATTGAGTGGTTACGAGATCGTTTGTATCAACATGCTCGATCATGGACAGAGTGTTGAACGTTCGAGTGTGGATTGGCTAATCAACAAAAAAGAACGGCTGAACTTGATTCACTCCTACGGTACTTTCGTCATCTCGTTCAAATCGATGGTTTCGTCCGAGACAAACTCAAACGTGATGTTGACGAAACAATGAAAAAAAATGAGTGCATGTCAATATAAAATATTTTGAATCTTGTCATGACACAAAAATCCAGCCAAAATATTTGTTGAGTGTCGAATTTCAACGCTTGAAACTTGATCATCTCAAAACGTATGATTGTGTTTGACTAGCTCACTTTACACATCTTCTGAATAAAAACAAAACAAGAATTACAGTCCTGTCACCATTTTCAAATATGTATCGCGTCGTGTGCGTGATGGTCTTCGCCTTAGCAGTGATGCTACATACAGTCAGCTCCACGCCGCTCGACGACTATGTTAATACACCGGATCCACATTTCGGCTGGAAACGGATTCAGACATATCCGTTTTCCACGTACACACTCTATGTGCTCAATATGACATCCCAACAATGGTTCGACTGTATATTAGTAGCAAGAAAAATTTCTTGATAGATCTATTTATTTTTTTTTCCAAGTCTTGTTCTCATCTCGACCCATCTGGTGGCACTACATGGTTATTACAGTTCCAAGAGTACTTCGACGTTCAAATATTGCTTTTTTGTATATCAACAATGGCGACAACACGGATTCGTAAGTTTGCATGACGAAATAGAGGGAAATGATAGAACAATTCAAAGTTGCAATGATTCTCTCGGAAAAAAAATGAGAAGCCGCTTCTATCGAGTGTTTAGACATCTTGAGACGTTCGAGACTGATATATAATTATGCCATCGATCAAAATTGTAGACTCAAATATGTTTATATTGGTGCTTTTCAATTAGAGTGCCCACTAATAGTTCCGTAACAACATTTGCTGTGATTACGGGTAGTGTTGCCGTCGAACTTCGACAAATTCCCAATCAGCCAATTCGATTTACGGTAGGATCTATTATTTAAAGCGTTCCATGTTCACAAAACTTCATTCATTGAAGGCTGACCCAACAGAAAAGTCTCGTAAAGAAGATGCAATTATCGTATGGACTTGGAAAACATTTATTGAAGAGAATGGGAGTAATCCATATATTCTTCTTCGTATGCCAATGACGAAGGTATATCAACTGGATAGTTTAACAAATATTCCCTACATTCTAGACTACACTTGAGATTCTTCTATGTAAAACCGTGACAATTCTTTTCGACTTTATCGAAACTGAAATGTTTACTTGTACTGTCTTTGTAACAGTCATTTCTCATCCCGTGTATGAGGCGTTTTTAAGTTACTTTAACTTAACCACATCTTCAACAAATCATAGGCTGCCGTACGAGCCATGGATGCAACAGAGGAGTTATTAAAGCAAGACGGAATACCAGTGCCAAACAACTTTGTCGTTGCAGGAGAATCCAAAGTAATTAAGTGTATTATGAAAATATCCGATTGAATTATTTTCCATTGTAGCGCGGATGGACAAGTAAGTATGTCAGAGGCTGCATTCATTATAGATATAACTCATCAAAATAGCTTGGACGACGGCTGCTGTGAACAACAATCGTGTATCGGCTGCTGTTCCTGTCGTCATGAATATACTGAATCTTCAGAAGGTAGAAATGAGAGAAATACATGAATAATACTTCTTTGATTCTGCTGGTTTATTGATATAGAACATGATGCACCATTATCAAGTACGTATAAATTACACTGTTGTTTAAAACAAACTCGATAGCATGTTTAAAGTCGTTAGCCGGATGGTCGTTGCTCTCGATGATTATTACAAGCTGAATATCACGACTTACCTTGAAAATCCCTATTTACAGAAATTAGCCAAAATCGTCGATCCTTATTGTAGGATACTCTTCAATTCATCAATAAGATTTGATTTTGATTTTTCAGCCTACTTTGATCGATTTGCCCAAGTAAAATTGTTTCAAATAGAAGCAGCTGATGATACATTGTTTCTACCGGATAGCGAGGTATCATTGACTTGAATCGAACAGACATATTGATATTTTCGTAGGATTTGTATTGGGATGATCTACAAGTAAAGACGGGTGGTTCCTATCTCAGGTAGGAGGTTGTCTGGTAGGAAAAAGTAAGAGTCGAACATATCAAGACGCATTGATAGACGCATTCCCAATAATGGACACAACATAGAGGGATATGAAGGAAGTCTTCAAAGTTTTTATTTGAGCGTTGCTGATGTAAGTCAATATTTTATTTGCATGTTTTTGATGACTGGACAGTTTAGAAACAAATTCTACCTTCATTCAAATGGACACGAACAATAAATCAAACGCACGGGAAGATTCGTGCAGTTATCGATTTTAGTGCTGGCCAGCCCAAGCCGATCAATGTCACCGCCTATCAAGCTCGAACTATTAACGGCACAAAGTAGAGAATATATATAAAAGCGACATATTCTCATTGAATGTTTATTTCACAGGCGCGATTTTCGAGAAACGAAATTAGATCCGACTACCGGCAAGGAAATCCCCAATCCTATTACTTGGTTGAATATGCCTGTTAAAATTGAAGTTAAACGAATATATATTATCATCGAAGTACTCCTTTGTCTCTTATAGGCGCAGACTGATACGTCGATTACCTATTCATGCATCGGACCTATCCCACCGAGTGGTTACTGGGATGGCATGTTCATTCAAGTGACATTTCCTGGACGTGATAGTACAACATTAGATTTGACCACAGAAACGCTCATCTTGCCCAATGCTTATCCAGTGGATCCATGCACAGGTGAAGCCTGTCATGGTAGCCTTGTCTAATTGATCTTTAAAACCCTGATTTAATATATAAATTTCTCAAAATAAAGGATGCATCGTGAAAGAATGAACGAATGGTATTCAAGAACTGAGAAATAGGAATTCCTAAACTATTGGGAAACTATCAACGAAGTCATCATAATTCTTTAGGGACTCGTGGAATTGGTCCTGAATTTCCTTACAGTTGCACGATTCTCATGAGTGGGTGGGTGTGGGTGGAGGTAGGGTGGAGGTGGGGGTAGGTGTGGCTGTGGCTGTGGGTGGGGTGTGGGTGTGGGTGTGGGGTGTGTGGATGTGGGTGTGGTTGAAGAGATCCATACACCCACAGACCCACACCCACAATCAAAACTGAGAAAAGTTATTTTACTAGACATAAATAATGCAGCTTGTAATTCATTTGCACGTGAAGTTATCATCGATCATAGAAATGCACTTGGAGATGATGATGATATGATGAACTACGAGTTGCCTTCATTAACGGCTAAATGGTGTTGGCAAGATGATGATGATAATGATGAGAAAATCTATGATGAAAACCATACACGTCAAATTGAAGACAAATTTCAACATTATTTGAAAACATCTACCATATTACCATCGGTAATTCCTGTAGATAATTTAAAAAGTGGTACTATTGTGAACCACAGTATCCATTTTCTGCCTAATTTGAAGCAATTATTGACAAGTAATAGAAGTGCACTAGATGATCACCTTGTCTGTGGATATCAAATGAGAGAAAGTACTGGCTATAAACGAGATATCATTCGCTATCCAGTGGTACAAAAGACTCAGTCAACACCTGTTACTTATTCTCCTAAACCATTGGATCTATATAGCTTGCAAATGGTAACAACTAACGACGATTGGGATATTGTCAGTATCAGCAGTGAAGCAATAACTGAAGCTGAAATAGCAATTAGAAAAGCAATTGTCTCTGCCACTATTTCGGAACAATACTCCGTCAATCTGGACAAAGACATCGATGTACATAAAGAACAAAATAAATCTATTGCAACTCAACAACAAATTCAAATTAATTTTCAACAAGAATGTTCGGAACAACTACCAATGATATTAAAAGGTTTGAAACCAAGTGTACAAGAAGCCAAATTAAAAATTACTTTATACGCTCATGATATTTTGAAAATGCAAGTAGATAACGATGATGAATTGCGCATACCTAAAGAATGGAGTGATCAAAAAGAAGGATGCCACTTAGTTGAAATTCCTAGAAATGATCCTACCTTCACTCGTATTGAAAACAGTATGAAAGAAACTATGAATAATGTGAAAATCGATAAAATCGAACGAGTGCAAAATGTACGCATGTGGAATCATTATGTGTTTCGTCGTCGAGAACTTAGAAAAGAACTGAGTATTATGCCTAATTTACAAATTGAAATAGAACTATTTCATGGAACGCGAACGACACCACCAAGTGAAATTTACAATGGTGAATATAGCTTCGACATGACATTTAGTACAAGTGGTATGTGGGGTATCGGTGCATACTTTGCTAAAAATGCTTCATATTCTTGCGGCAGCTATGCTTATCAATTACCGAATGGAAAACGCCAAGTATTTTTAGCCCAAGTTTGAACAGGAGACGTATATGATTGCCAGAGTGATCCATCTTTGCGTCGACCTCCGAAGAAAAATGAGACAGTGTCTGGTCCACGATATAACAGTGTATCAGGCGATACAGGAGGCAGTAAAGTTTACATTGTGTATGAAAATCGTGTGGCTTATCCAACCTATTTGATTACTTTCACTTTATAACTTTTAAAAACTTCCATTGGACTTGTTTTTTCATACATGCTTGAATCTGTAATGGTTAAATTATGTTTTTCAACAAAATAAACAACAAGATTTGGATAACAAAGACTCCTTCATTGAGTTGCACATTAGAGAAGGAAATACACATTCTATATTGAAATAAAAACACTTTTAACGAAATCCTTATCGGATTAAAATCCAAAACACGATGAAGTTATTTTCAGCATGATAGCAAAACTTCGCCATATCTGTCACAACACATCATAGAAATCGTAAGTCAGGGGTGTGGATGTATAGGTGTGGGTGTGGTGTGAGTGACTGTGGTTATGGATCTAGCGATACTTATTACGTACATCCACACGCACACGCATACACCCTATTCTCAAGTGCATGTTCCAAAGAATATGGATCTCCAAATGATCGTACGGTTTATTGTAATAAAATCCAGTATATATACCCTTCAATTCAATTGTTTATGTCTTTCTATTCTAAATGCCAACAAAGATGTGATTGATCAATTACAAAACTTGATCGAATCAGAGAAGTTACTTTTTAATTATAATATGAATTGTATTTACAATAATATTGTTTTCAAATAGAATCGATCTTGATTTATCAATTGTGAATGATTTGCTTTACATAAATATCAAATGTTTGTTTATCCAGAATAAAAACTATTTTTGCAATATAAATTATTTGAAATTTTGTTTTGATAAATATGCTGATTTACATGGTTTTTTTAAACTTTTGTATGAGGCAATTTGTATTGCATGAAGAATGAACATCTGAATCATATTTATTTTCTTTTATTTTGAAATTTATTGATTGATTAATAAGTTGTATTATATGCTGAAAGAAATTATCATTTGTCAGTAGATTGTTACCATTGGATATTTCGAATTAAAAGTATCTGATTAGCATCAGTTAGTAATAATATTAGTCAAACTTTAATTTCGAATTTACTACAATTTGAAATTAAAATTACACAAACAATGCTATTTGGGTGCTTTTTTCAAATAAAGCATTGATAAAAATCCATTGTTTAATCTTCGACTACATAGTCAAACATGAAACCAGAGATTCTTAAAAAATTCATTTTTTTCATTAACTCATATTTTGTCATGAACACGTTAATAGAATTGTGAAAAGCGCTATTTTCTGATTTTTTTGAGTTGTATAATTGAAATTTAAAAGTGAATGTGTTTAACGAAATATTAGTGTTACGTTAGAGAAGCAATAGATAGATACACGCATGTAATTATTGATTTTGCTTTTTATTGAATAAATTTCAGAAATTTGATATTAAACTCGCAAGATAAGATTAATCGAGTTTAAATTGATCAACTATAAGCTGTTGGTGGATAGTTTTCGAAGTGCGTCGAGATCTCTGTCAGCATTTGGCGTACTTCTCGAGCAAATACTTGTCAATTTGGTGTCTGTTAACCACATTTGCCATCGTGCACCCACTGGAATGGCGCCGAAACCACACATTGATCCTTGCAAGTTTGTACGGACGATAATTTGCGCACCAGCCACGGTGCCCTGAATGATAAAATGTCACATTCAACACAACAATTTCATTTGTTTTTTTTACTCACTTTGAATGCCTCATCCACTTTCATGGTCATATCGGCATAGCCCATGAATGGATTCGATTGCGTTGTACTTGTAGCAATTACATGTCCAATAAAGATAATCGGTGTTCGAGCAAAATCATCGCTTAATGATGGCGGAAATATGCATGAACAACAAATGGTTGATCCAACAAGTCCATAAAGCAGCAAAAATGAAAGAAACATTTAGCTATTCAGTGATAAAAGCGAATGTAGGTGTGCAGAATAATCAAGACAGAATAGCGAAGAATAAAGTGCACAACGCATTTTCATCGCAGCGGTGTTATGCAAATCTGAGCAGCACAGCAATGAGTCGAGTAAATATTTGCGCAGAATAATGAATCTTAATGCCCTCAAATAACATATTTATCGATAGAGGCTCCGTTTAGAAGGTCTGAGTCGACGAAGAACCAATTTTCGTTCGAGCATACTTACAACAATCCAAAAGTAAAGGTGGAGATATTTTAATTTCTTATAAAAAGCCTTAAGAAACTTTCTCTCTGTATAGTTTGATAGTGAAAACAATGCTCTATTTTTTCTATGTTATTGAATCATTCTTCAACTAATATCACAAGAAGAAATTTTCGATAAGATCTGTTTTGTTATCATATGTACTGATTGTATTAGGTTATATTTTCTCTTCAATATGTATCCTTTTTTTGTTATTCTCTTTGTTTTTTTCCTCTCTTTTTTTCTCGTTTCCTACAATGCCTAGGAGTCCATGACGTAGGTGAATTATAAAAAAATTCAGATTTATATCCATTCTGACGAGAGAACATCCCCAACTGTCAAAGCGCTTTTCGGATGAGACTATTGACATTCGATCAGTCTTGGTGAGTAGGAAAAAGCCTGTTTGGGTTCGATTTTCTGGTCTTCTCTTGCCAAGTTACGGGTATTTTACTCGATTTTTGACATATGATAATAGGATCTCAGAATGGCTGAATGATGGAATTTTGAGCTGAAATTTTGTCTATAGTTAGGCCTTATAGCCACTAGAAACTTCCAAACGTTTGAGCCAGAACCAACATATCCTTATTGAGATATGAGCTTTTCATAAAAACGTCTTTGATGTGAAACATAGCCCAAAATAAGTGTTTCTTTAAAATGTGAATACCTCGGTAAGGATACGTTGGTTCCGGCTCAAACTTTGGAAAGTTTCTAGTGGCTATAAGGCCTAACTATAAACATATTTTCAGCTCAAAGTTTCATCGTTCAGCCATTCCGAGATCCTATTGCCATATGCCAAAAATAAGTAAACAATTTCAGATTTTATTGGGCTGAAAAAAATGTTAGAAACTCCTGTGCTGTCATACTTGAAATATCAATCAAATCCTGAGTTACAGTTCAAATACATTTGACACAAGATGAATGTCTGTACGAATGTCAAGAAACTTTTCCTTATTCATATGATATTTTGACTTGTATTAATGATTTTTAGTCGAATCACTAAAGAGTCCGAAATAGGTTGATTTATAAATCGATATAAATAAATCGATTTATAAATCGTAAATTTTTTTATCGAAAATTTAAAATAGTTATAAACGTTTTCTATATTTATAAATCTAGCTTATTTATAAATTCATTCTTGACTTATAAATGCATAAGCGATTTATAAACATCTGACGACTTTATAAATCTGGCACTGATTTTGAAATCCAGCTGATATGCCACTGAATTTCATTGCTGAATTCTGAATAAACAGATAACGGATGAATGTATAGACAATTTGTAAAATTAAGAGTTGAGATCCATCTATTTCCACTAATTTCATACAATTCTTGAGAGAAACATATCTCGTTTGGTAGACAAAAAAGTAAATTTCTACTTAATTTTCAGTTCTTTTATCAGATACGTTTTGGCTTTTTTAATATTCACTTGCAATAGAACATGTTTGAACAGTACAAATAACACGATATGAATAAGAAATAAATAGAAATGCCCATTGATCGCGAAAGATGGACGAGCACAACATCAGAAACGAAAGCCAATTAATGAAAAAAAGCATAAAGATGGCCAGAGTGTAAAATGATTGTGTCACCTTTATGCTTCTAATCGTTAATATGGATAAAAATATCGTTATAACGGAAGTACGCCTTTGCTAAATCTAAAGTTACCGATGCCCTGAGTACAAAGCAGATCTTTACTAAAATCTGTGAATTTCTTGAAGCATGTTAGTCGAGTTTTAAATATCGACTCAATTTATAAATGTTAACCCAATTTATAAACGTCCTAAACTTTTGCAATTTTTGTTAAATTTAAATTTTTTGAAAAATCATTTCGGACTCTACAGTGAGTCAAAGCAGACGCACTCTTACAGAGATTTTTACTTTTCCACGAAATACTTGAAACAAAACTTATTCTATTCTAGGCACATTTTTTCTTCTCATTCTAGGCAAAAGTGATTGATACTATGACTGAATATCATTGTGTCAATAGACCATGCGTAGATAGAATCATTCGGATGCTGGAAGAAAGGAGCTTGTTCTTTGAACAGGCGTTTTACTTTTGGTTACATAGTAATAGAGAATCTTTCGCGAGCATAATGTAAAGTGTTTAGAGGAGGTAAACAAAGCGAAAATCGGTTATTCTTCAAAAATTATATATAAGACGCGACAAAAATGAAGATGAGCATCAAGTAAACGACGCTCATTCCTGTATCAGAAGAGATCATACAAAGATATATTGTCAAAGTCGAATTTAGTTGGCTTATATAGCTAAAACTGCACAAAGAAACCACAATAGTGCAGAAGTAATTAATAAAATGCAACACAGAGAAATACGTAAATAATGAAATAATAGTACTTGTTTATTGACGTCTACAATTCGACATACTGGACATTGTCGATGAAATGATTTGATCCGGCCCTATCGCGTTATTTATTTTTGGATATAATATTTGCGAATATTTTTTAATTAGAAAATATTTAACTTGACGACAAAAACACAATGATGAAAAGATATATAGATAGAAACTGATCTAAAAGAAAAATCACATCAATAAATTTTTTCTTTCTTTAGATTAACATAAAACGCTTACTGAATAATGCATGGAGGCCAATGAAATAGTAATAGCAGTGATCAATTGGTTCAATGCTAATTGAACATCATTAAGATATTTGTTACTGAATGTACGAGCACAATGCATGACATAGGAAGTGTTAGTGGAATAAGAACCATTGAAGTAAGTTGTCGATCACGCCATCAACGTTC